GATAAATCCACGCTACTCAAAATGGCTTGTTTGGTTGGGCGGGGCATTTCCGAATTAATTTGGGCCAAAAAATCAATAAAGTTACCTAAATTTCCCATCGCTAAATAAGGAAGTTTTTCCGCCAAAGTTAAATTAGTTTTTTTTAAGATATTGGGCAAATGCTTAACAAATTTTTTCAATTAAAGCACTTGTAGCTTTTTCATCCTTTTGCTCGACTTCTAATAAAACTTGATACTCGCTTTTTCAAGCATTATTAACTTTAACCGGATTAATAATCTGAACTCTTTCCAGGCCTTCCAAATGAATTTCTTGTAGAGAGTTGATTACGGCTTCTGCATTAGCTTCATAAGTTAGGTCCAAAATAATTTTTCCTCATGTTCCTATAGAGTAAAAGTTCGTTAAATTCGATTCCGAGGACAACAAATTAGAATTAACAATTTTTTCTCGGCTGGAAATAATTAATAATTGTCCTTGGTGCTCTTTTCAAGCGTGAATTAAAACTGGTTTTAACCTTTCATTCTCTCCTCGTAACGATAAAGAAAAATTGCATTTAGGAAATAATAGGGGAAGCACAAAAGGAACTCCAAAAACTAGAAGGTTCCGATTCTAGCAGTTGAGAACAAAAACATTTACAAAGATTAGAAAAAGAACCTTTTCCGGAGCAAGTAAAGGAAACAGTTCGTTCCCAGATCGAACAATTTAAAATGACTAATCCGCATTTTGGTGAGGCGAATATTATTCGTAATTATGTGGAACTCTTGATGGCTCTTCCGTGATGGCAATCTACTTCAGAAAATCATGATTTACCACAGGCTCAACAAATACTAGATGAAAATCATTTTGGTTTAGAAAAAGTTAAAAAAACGATTATTGAACACTTGGCTGTTATTCAACACACAGGCAAGGTTTCGGGACGAATTATTTGCTTTGTTGGTCCTCCTGGGGTAGGAAAAACTTCTCTGGCTAAATCTATTGCTAAAGCTACCGGTCGTAAATTCTTTCGTATTCAACTCGGAGGAATAAGGGATGTGGCTTTGATTGTAGGATTTCGACGAACTTATGTTGGCTCTCTACCGGGAACAATTATTCAAGGATTAAAAAAAGCCGGAGTAAACAACCCCGTAATCTTATTTGATGAAGTAGATAAAGTTAACCGCTTAGCCAGTCACCAGGGCGATGCTACTTCGGCCCTTTTAGAGGTTTTGGACCCGGAGCAAAATCAAAATTTTACCGACCACTATTTGGAAATTCCATTTGATTTGTCTAAGATACTTTTTATTTGTACGGCTAATTATCTATGAGATATTCCTAAAGTTTTGCGAGACCGAATGGAAATAATTTTCCTTTCTTCCTATACTGAGATAGAAAAGGTAGTTATCGCCAAAGATTATCTTATTCCCAAAAACCTAACTGAACATCGGTTAGAAGCGTCCCAAATTGTTTTTCCCCCAGCGGGAATTGAATTCCTTATTAACCATTACACCCGCGAAAGTGGAGTACGAGAATTAAATCGCTTGATTAGAAAAATTTTCCAAATCTTTATCAAAGACTTATTACAAAAAAAAGTTAATAAATTACCAGTGAAAATTACTCCTAAATTAATTCAAGACAAACACTATTTAGGCAAGATTATTTATGATTTTACGGAAAAGGAGGAAAACCCCCAACCCGGAGTAGTCAACGGCTTAGCCTGAACGGAAACTGGAGGAGATATTTTACCCATCGAAGTAAACTATTATCCGGGCAAGGGCGAATTAGGAAAATTAACTGGTAGTTTAGGAGATGTGATGAAAGAATCCGTAGTAGTGGCTTTTAATTATGTGAGGAGTTACCTAGAAAGCTACCTAACAAATGAAGCCCAAATTATTGACGAAGCAGAAAAAGGAAAAATTGAAGATTATTTGGCGATCCTTAATAAAAGCAATTTTAATCTGCACGCTCCTGAAGGAGCCGTAAAAAAAGATGGTCCTAGTGCGGGAATTGCCATAACCACGGCCATCCTTTCGGCTCTAACTAAAAAAACTATTCCGGCCGATATTGGCATGACTGGAGAAATTACCCTTACCGGCAATGTTCTGGCGATTGGTGGTTTACGAGAAAAGGCTATCGCTGCTTGTCGTAGTAAATTAAAAACTATTTTTATCCCTAAAAAAAATGAAAAAGACTTAGAAGACATTCCTGCTGAAGTTCGCAAAGAATTAAAAATTATTTTGGTCAGCAAATATCAAGAAGTATGAGAAACTTTATTTCCTCCGCTGGTTGCTTCGATTGTAGAGGGACCAACTTCTATCTCGGTTGGAATTTAATAAAAACAATTTAAGGAACTGTGGCCGAGTGGTCTAAGGCGGCAGTCTGCAAAACTGCTATTTCGTTGGTTCGAATCCAACCAGTTCCTCCATTTTTACATGTTTTCTCTGATGCATACTGCTTGAAAGCACTTAAAAATATTAATATAAGCAATGAAAAACTTGAAACCTACTAACAACGCACAAAGAAATACCATCTTAGTTGATTATCGAAAAGTACTCCACTCGGAAGTTAAAAAGTATCCGCGAAGTTTATTTAAAAAATTACCTTCGCATGCAGGAAGAAATAACCAGGGTAAAATTACCACCCGCCACCAAGGAGGTGGACACAAAAAAACTTATCGAATTATTGATTTTAAACGTTATCCTCATGATGGAATGGAAGGAACTATAAAAAGCATTGAATATAGTCCTTATCACACAGCTTTCATTTCTTTAATCAATTATCCAGACGGTAGCAAGGTTTTTATTATTACCCCCAACGGAGTAAAAATTGGAGATAAAATATTGAGTGGAGAAAATGAAAAAATTCCTATCCAAATTGGGAACAACTTGCCTTTGCGTTATATTCCAGCCGGAACTTTTATTCATAATATTGAACTTAAACCGAAAAAAGGAGGACAATTAGCCCGCAGTGCTGGGACCAACGCCGTGGTTTTAGGAAAAGATGAAAATAGCCGCTACATTCAGGTTAAACTAGTTTCCAAGGAAGTAAGAAAGATTTTAGCCAATTGCCGAGCCACCATTGGCAAAGTAAGTAATTCAGAAAATAATTTGGTGAAAAAAGGAAAAGCTGGTAGAAATCGTTGACTAGGCATTCGTCCTACTACCCGAGGTTCAGCCATGAATGCTTGCGATCATCCTCACGGAGGAGGAAAAGACAAACAACCTATCGGCCATCCATCGCCACTTAGCCCTTGAGGATGGAAAACCTTAGGAAAGAAAACTCGCAAGAAAAATAAACCTTCTAATAAATATATTGTGCGTTCTCGGCACCGAATGAAGTAAAAATAATATTATATGAGTCGTTCCTTAAAAAAGCCCTTGTTTGTTGATCCAAAATTGCTAGCCAAAATTGCTAAAGCAAAAGGCAAAGAAAGGCCAATAAAGATTTGATGCCGGGATTCAATAATTCCAAATGAAGCGGTTGGTTATACTTTTGAGATACATAATGGAAAAGGGTTTGCTAAACTGGAAGTCACTCCTAGTCATATTGGTCTTCGCTTTGGCGAATTTTCTCCTACTCGCCGTATGGGAATACACGGAAAAGCAGGAACTCATTAAAAAATATAAGTATGGAAAAAACAACTTCAAACTTAAATCTAGTCATTCGCTGTCGGGATTTAGCAATTTCTCCCCAAAAAATGCGTCTGGTAGTTAATTTAGTCCGCAAGAAGGAAATTAGTCATTCCTTAGACACATTGCGTTTTTTGCCTCATAAAGGTGCCCGAATGCTACACAAAATTTTGCAAGGAGCCGCTAAACAGGTTCACCAAAAATCAGCCAAAGATACTTTTTATATTAACCAAATTCAAATAGACCGTGGAACTATCCGTAAAAGTTTAATGATTCGAGCCCGAGGAAATGCTGACACGCTAAGAAAAGTTCACTCTCATCTTTTTTTATGTTTAGGCCCAAAGGAGGAGCCAAAATAGTGGGCCAAAAGGTCAGTTCTTACGTTTTACGTTTAGGGATTAATCAGCCTTGACAAAGTAATTACTTCCCCATTAAAAAAAAAGAAGCCAATTGATTACAACAAGAAAAATTAATCCGCGATTATCTTTTTTTCTCTTTTCCGGAAATTACGGAAATTGGTATTGAACGTACTGAAGTGGAATTATTTATTATCGTCCATACTTCTGACATCAGCTCGCTCGACGAAAAATTCAACGAAAGTCAAGACCAAATTTTAACCAAAATTGCCAATATCGTTAATGACAAAAAAATTGCTACTAGATTATACTTAGATAAAAATTATTCTTTGGCTCAGGCTATGGCTAATAATTTAGCCCGCCAACTAGAAAGTCGAGTGCCTTGAAATGTACTTTATAACGATTTCTTTAGAGAAATCAAAAGATTAATGATACTGGGTAAAATAAAAGGAGTCAATGGTCGAATTAATGGTTGCTTAGAAAAAGGAGGAATTGCCCAACACAAAAAAATTAAACAAGGAGAAATGCCTACTAGCACCTTGGATAGCTTAATTGAAGAAGGAAAAAGCGAAGCCAATACTATTAATGGTCAAGTAGGAATTACTATCCAAATTTATAAAGGAAAAAGCAAAAAATTAAATTATGTCAATTCTAATACCCAAAAAAACTAAATATCGTTTTCCGCATCGGACTCCTTACGAGGGAAAAGCTAAAGGAAACAAAAAACTCACCTGAGGAGAATACGGTCTCCAAATCCAAGCAGGGGCTTGAATTACCAACAACCAAATGGAAGCAGTGCGGAAAGTAATTGTCCGCCATCTTCGCAAGGAAAAAGAAGGAAAAGGAAAATTTAACATTTTTCCTCATCTCTCTCGTACTAAAAAGCCTTTAGAGACCAGAATGGGGTCAGGAAAAGGTTCTCCTGATAACTGAGTAGCCGTGGCAAAAAACGGAACCATCATATTTGAATTAAAAGGAGTAAGTAAAGAAGTAGCTCACCGAGCCTTAAAAGCCGCTTCCTATAAATTACCTAAAAACAGCAAGGAAAATCAAAAAATTAATTATTATTACAAAATTGTTGATAAAGATGAAAAGTAAAAAAAATTTGCCTGTCAAGAAAAAAACAACTTCTCTAGGTTCAGTTGCCGAGTTACGACAAGCTCTATTTATGTTACGCTTAGAACAAAGGGCCGGGCAGTTACTCAAAACCCATCAAATCAAAAAGTTAAGAAAAGAAATTGCTCGGCAATTAACTAAGCAAAATCAGCCAAAAATAGTGAATAAAAATGAAACAGGAGGAGAAGCATAATGAATCAAACTTATTCTGGAAAAATAATTAGTCAAAAAAGTGCCAAAACAGTAAAGGTAGAGTTAATTTTTCATTACCGGCATCCAAAATATAAAAAGGTTATGAAGCGAAGAAGCATAAAATCAGCCCACAATGAAAACCTTTCGCTTCAAGTTGGCGACAAAGTAGTCATTAAAAGTGGTCGCCCTTATTCTAAAACTAAAAAGTTTTTGGTAATTGAAAAACAGAAAGATTAAAGTTGAAAAAAGCAAAAACCCTAAAAAATTTAATATTGTGAATTCAAATAAATTAATCAGAACTCTTATCTACACAAATCAACAGTGTAGTGAATGTAGAAAAGAATTAAACAAAGAGGAGATTGTATGAGTTTTTGGTGAAGAAGAGACAAAAGGAATTATAAGCAAACAAGCCAACTATTATTGTATTCCTTGTGGCAACAAAATCATCGAACAAGGAAAATCTTCTGAAAAAATGGCCGGTGAAGTATGTTTTGCTCTAAATTGTAATAATAAAATAAAAAAAGAATATTATCAGTGCCGAGATAGTAAAAAAAAGTTTTGTAGTCAAAGACATTTTGAGGAAGTTTATGGTCTTCATTGTCCTTGCTGCGGAAAAGAGTTTGCGGAACGAGTTAATTATTTAGAAAAATTTCAGCCTGAAAAAACATTTCTTCAAAAAGC